TCCATTCTTCCCTTCCCTCTATCCCTCCCTTCCTATCTTCTTCCCTCCTTTTCTCTGTCCCTCCCTTCCTTTTCCCCTCCCTCCTTTCTTCTCTTCTCTCCCTTCCTCTTTTCCTTCTCCCTTCCTTCATTTCTTCTTTCCTTCTTTTTCCTTCCTTACTTCCTTTCCATCTCTCTCTCTGTCTCTCTCTCTGTCTCTGTCTCTCTCTCTCTCTCTGTCTCTTTCTCTCTCTCTCTCTCTCTCTCTGTCTCTGTGTGTGTGTGTGTGTGTGTGTGTGTGTCTGTCTGTCTGTCTGTCTGTCTCATCTGTTTCTCTATCTGTCTGTCTCTCTTTCCTTCTTTTGTCTGGGTCTCCCTTCCTTGACCAGGCTGGAAGTGCAGTAGCCACTCACATCCCAATACCACTATTGATAATCATGGGTGCTTTAGCCTTCTCTCTTTTTCCTACCTGGGCCAATTTGACCTCCTTAAGCAGCCTGGTAGCTCCCAGAACCTGGTGGTTCACTGCACTATTGTTGGGCACGTGATCAGCTTTACCTACTACAGATCAGAACTTCTAAATTCAAGTGATCCAACAGCTTCTGCCTCTTCAGCATCAGGAACTGCAGGTGTGGGACACTATACCTGGCCTGAGGTTTACTTTCAAGCTAGTATTTTTTTAATAAGTATTCAAGTTTTGCAAAAAACACTTTTCATACATATTTGACCATCATTGTAAGTTAGGAGTAATAATAATAATGATAACATTTATATAACTCTTACTATGTGCCGCACATTGTATGAAGTGCTTTACAACTATTATCTCATTTGATCATCACAACAACCTTGAGAATTAGGGGCTCTTATCCCCATTTTGCTGATGTGGATCTGAGGCTGAAAATAATTAAGTGACTTGATCAGTGTGTCTAAGACAGGGTTGAAACCCAATTCTTTCTGACTCCAAATCCAGGATACTATCTACTATGTCACATAGCTATTGAATATTATTCTAAGAAGATATATGTTGTTGTTATTGTTTTTTATGCTGTAACCTATACTCAATTTACCATAGGGATAAAGAAAAACCATTCTATGGCTGCCTACCATCAACACATATTTTATTCAATGTCTGCTGTTCACCAGAAATGATGCTCTTCACCTATTCTATTTATAATCTGTATCCTCTTGGGAAAATCATTTTCTAACACTTGTTATCCTCATTTGTAAAATGGAAAAATTGGATTAGATCCTAAGATCATAGATTTGGAGTGGAAAAGGGACCTTAGAGGCCATTGAGTCTAATGTCCTCGTTTTACAGATGAGGAAACTGAGACCCAGAGAGGTTAAGTGACTTTCCCAGACTCATTAGGCTAATAAGTGTCTGAGGTAGGATTAAAACTCAATCTTACTGACCCAAGTCCAGCATTCTATCCACTATGCCATAAAGCTACCTTTAAATCTACGATCCTATGACCACCATGGTCATCCTGGTCTTGTGGTCCATATGTAGTTAGGCTATGAAACAGCCCAGAAAATAGTGTCTTGATTGAATGCAAGCTCCTTGAGGTCAGGACCTGCTTTATTTTTGTCTTTGTATCTCCAGCATCTAGCAAAATGCATGGTCCATAGCAAGTGTTTAGTAAATACCTGTTCAATGAATAAATTGGTGCTAATTGATGAAGGTATACAAAGCACTTAGAGACAATAAGAGCTGCCCTCCAGTTTAAAATTTCTGTGGGGCACATCTCCAAGTCAGGAGAGTCAGGAGACTTGAGCCTAATATGAAAATGAAAAAAAATTATCAGTGAATTGGAAGGATTTATTAGTGAAGTAAATCAGAGATTGCATTTTGGGAGAAGACATTTAACAAACAACAATCTGGATAATGAGTCCAGATCAAGAAAAATAATGAGGTAATAGAAGAATGAGGAGGAACAAGGAAGATTAGAAGTAGAACCTGAAGATAAAGACTCACGAAGGATAAGGAGCAAGTAGTTGGCAAGACAAGGTAAGGTAAAAAAAGGTAAATAGAACAATTAATTATTTTTCAGTTGTATATGGCTCTTTATGACCCTATTTGGGGTTTTACTGGCAAAGATACTGGAGTGGTTTGCCATTTCCTTCTCCAGGTCATTTTCACAGATGAGGAAACTGAGTCAAACAGGGTTAAGTGACTTGCCCAGGGTCACAGAGCTACTGAGGCGAATTTGTGTCTGAGGCTGGATTTCAACTCAAGAAGACGAATTTTTTCTGACTCGCGGCCCACTACTGAATTCACTGTACCACCTACCTGCCCATCAAATAATTAAAAGGTTAAGCAAACTGATATAGTGGATTCATGGGTGAGTCAAATAGGTGTAATATACAGGAGACTGCTAGAAGGCTTAAAGGGAGGTGGGTATAGCTGTGGCTGCGGGGTTGTGAAGACAAAGGAAAAGAATTTGAGTGGAGTTGTCAAATGATTTAGAAGTGATAATTAGCTGAAAAAAAACCTTTTATGAAGGTTTAAGGTTGAATTGTAAAAACCTAGGAGTAGTTTCAAGAAATAAGGCTAAAAATCTCAACCATTATGGAGAGTTAAATTATGCAGTGATTTTCCTGGAGTGTGAGATATTTTTGTTTCTGCCACCTCTGAGTGACTCTTATCTGCATTTCAAGAATAGGCTAATCTCCCTCCTAAAGGAAGATGCAAAAGGATTACAGAATATTCAGAAATAGATTCAAGTCTTCAACATGAAAAAAGAGGGACCCTAAGGAGGGGAAAAAGTTTTGTCAGGATTATGGAAAATGGAAGTGTGACAAAAAGAGGAAAGTAAGGAAAAGGCCACCTGTACAATTAAAGCTAAGAAACAGTCTTGAGGCTTTTTCTGAGGAAGAGAGATCTGGATGCTCTAAGGAAAAAGAAACCTCTTGTCCTCCCAGGTCAGATATGGTAGAGCTACAGAACTTATTGGGTGAGAGATTTTACAGTGATGGGCATAGGGAAGAAGAAAAGAACAGTAGTATTGGTGATTCCCTGCCCATGGATACTCAAGCAGCTATTTGTTAACCTTGATAACCATAGAAAAGTTTGTCTTCCTGAGGCATGTATCCAGGATGCAACAGAAAACTTCTCTAGACATCTATTCACTTCTGGTGCTCCAAAAACATTATGAAGTCTAGGGGAAGAAACTGAAGACCATAGGGACAAAGGATGTGCTGCCCATTGAACGTAAGGCATGTAGAAGAGAAGCTTTAATAAGTGAAGAGCTGGTTAAGAAAGTGGTATCTGAGGATGGGATTTGGATTTTTGGAAGGGAAGAAGCAAACAGGCACTTAGGAAGCACTGTGCTAAGTACTTCACAAATATTTTATTATTTGATCCTCACAACAACCTTTAGAAGTAGGTACTACTGGGCAGCTAGGTGGTGCGGTGAATAGACCACTGGCCCTGGAGTCAGGAGTTCCTGAGTTCAAATCTAGCCACAGACACTTGACACTAGCTGTGTGACCCTAGGCAAGTCACTTAACCTTGATTGCCTCACCCCCCCCCCAAAAAAAGTAGGTACTACCATTATCCCTATTTTACAATTGAGGAAGCTGAGACCAACAGAAGCTAAGTGACTTGCCCAAAGCCACGTAGCTAGTAAGTGTCTGGGGCTGGATTTGAACTCAGGTCTTCCTGACTCCAGGTCCAGCTCTCTAATCACTATATGACTAAATAGTGACTATATCACTGATGACACTATATAGAGTTGACAGATTCTTGGCCAGAGATAGAATAGATGTAACAAAGACTGGTAAATCCCTTCATCACTTTGAAAACCTCAGAGATGACAAGACAGCAAAGAATGATTATTTCTCACAGACCATTGCTCCTCTTCCCCAGTTTTGTGCATGACCCCTGAGAAATCCCCAAAATGATCAGTGAGAAAGACTTCTAAGAAAGTCAGAAATTGCAAAACCACTGAAAACTTTAATTTTTTATAAGTCAATAGCATCTTTAAGTTCACAGGACAAAAATATTTATCAAAACCTATGGTGCCAAGAAGTCCTAGTACATTTGCAATGCCAATAGCTCACATCATGAGCTATGAATGATTTGTCAAACTTGATTTTCAGGAGACAGTTAATTCCTCTAAAGTTCAAGGGATTCTTAACTTGGGATCTATGAACTTTTAAATATTTTGATAACTGCATTTTAATAAAATTTATTTTCTTTGTACTCCTATCTATTATTTTTTTTTTTTAGGCAGTTGGGGTTAAGTGACTTGCCTAGGGTCATACAGCTAGTAAGTGTCAAGTGTTTGGTCTGAGGCCGGATTTGAACTCAGGTCCTCCTGACTTCAGGGCCGGTGCTCTATCCACCGTGCCACCTAGCTGCCCCCCATCTTCTATTTTAATACATCTAAAAAAATTAGTCTAAGAAAGGGTCCATAGGTTTCACCAGGCTGCCAAAAGGGCCTGTGAGACCAAAAAAATGTTAAGAACCCTTTCTTTAAACATTATATTACAAGAATAATGAGGTAACAAGGATAATAGGAGCTTAATATTTGTTTTTAAAAAATTGAATTGAATTTAAAATTGTTGGAAACAGACTAATTTCCAATGGGGATGAAAGTTTTGAGATCAAACCTGCGATGGGGAACAAAAGTCAGAGGCAATCAGCCCCATGCTTCTTGCAATGGTGGACAATGGAGGAAAGTGGTTTGTTTCTTTATACCAGATGGGCAGTAGATACAAAAGACTCTCTAGAGATTTATATACTCCTCCCTTCAACACCCCCTCCCATTTCTCCCTTTCTGCCCCAGCCCCAGATCTATTGTCCTTCTTTAGACCACAGCCTGCCTCTTATTCTCATCCCTTCTCCCAAGGGGAGGGGAAAGAATTATGCAGGAGGAGAGATGGGTAGTGCAGGCTTGAGTGACTGTGGCAGAAGTGGGCTGGCCCCTAGTAGGGCTCTTAGCAACGCCCCTGGTCTGACCCTCCCTATACATGAGAAAATCAAATCAGTGTGTCCTTCTCCAGATCACCATGCAGCATCAGCAGCACAGCATCCAGCCAGTCTCCTGCTCTGCCTGTTAATGACCAGCTCCTTTAGATCCTATGGTTTCAGCCTTCCCAAAGAGCGACTGAACTGGGGGGAAAACGCCACCAAATCTCCCCTGCTAGCTGACTTCCATTCAAGTTTCATTAAGCTTCCATGTACAGTATCTCTCTCTCTCTCTCTCTCTCTCTCTCTCTCTCTCTCTCTCTCTCTTCCTCCCTCCCCCCATCCCCCACCCCTGACAAACTGGGGGTGTTCAGGGATCCTACTTCCCTTTCTGGATTTGTTGGGGATTGAATTAAAGCTCCACCCGAATATTGTTGCATTTTCCTTTTCTGGATCCAGGAGAAGCCCTGCTCACTCTCTCGATTTAAAGTGCACCCCCTCTTCCCCTCCCCCCCAACCTCCCTCCCTCGTTTGTACGTGCTCCTGTTGTTACTGCCCCTGCAGCTGCAGCTGAGACTCCTTACATTTTCTTCCTGGCCCTTTAAACCGAAGCCACCGCTGCATTGGTCTGGGATCCCGGGGAGGCGGCTGCTGCTATTGTTTGAATGACGGCTGTGTTATCTCTTCTCTTCCAGAGATGGCTAACAGGGGACCAAGTTATGGTTTAAGCCGGGAGGTGCAGGAAAAGATCGAACAGAAGTATGATCAGGACTTGGAGAATAGACTAGTGGACTGGATTATTCTGCAGTGTGGAGAGGACTTAGAGCACCCATCCCCTGGCCGGACCAATTTTCAGAACTGGTTAATGGATGGAACGGTAAGTATTGACTGAGCTTTTGTTTCTGGTGGCCGAGGTAAGTTGGCATACTAGGAACGCATCTCCCCGCTATCCTCTATAGATAGGCTGCTGGTTTGTGTTGCTAGGCTGACAATTCAAGGATTAACAATCTCCTGGTCTCTCCATGGTTCACACTGGCCCGCCTGGACAACTCCCTTTCTAGTTAGCTTGGTAGGCTTTCCATGCCTCCCAGGTATTTCTGATAACTTTGGAGGAAATTGCAGACAATTTCAAACCGACTCATCCTCTCTTAAAAGAGGCAATAGTTCCTTTTCACTTTCACTGTTTTTTGTTTTTGTTTCTTTTAAATCCTCTACCAGCATCAGCCACCCATGGTCCATTAATTTATTTCAGAATCTTTTTGTTTGTTTGTTTGTTTTGTTTTTGTTTTTGTTTTCCCCCTGGTTGGTTTCCATCTCGTGTTGTGGTGGTCCTATTGCTTTGTTAAGGAGACCAGAGCTGAAGCTACTGTGAAGCCCAAGGAGATCATTATTTAATGATTGTTTTTCAACCAGATGCTTTCAGGGAGATAGAGTGCTGCCTACATGAGCTTGTGACTCAAGCAATCCTACCAGCCCTGCCCTCATGCTGAGATTTACTGTTACATAATATTTAGCATATACCTTCACTCCATTTCTTGGTTTGGACTTTTTGTAGGTTGTGTGTGTATGTGTGTGTTCGAGTGTGAGAGAGTGTGTGTGTGTTTTGCTATGGAGGAAGATTAAATAAATTTTCTAATTCAGTTCTTTGTCATAGCAGTAGCATGTGCTTAGTTGATCATCAAGCTTGATTTCAGTCTTTGGATAGAAATTTTTAAAAAATGAATAAGTAAATAGATGACAAATGCTACTGAAATAACTTCCCTGCAGCAGCCATCCCCAGTAATTAATTGCTCATCAACACTATCTTATGAAGTTTGGGTCCTGATTTCCCCGGGTGTCAACAGACTTGCTTGTTCAGGGAGGTTAGTTGGCTTGTTTGTGATTGCACAGCAAATCATTTGCAGCATTGGGAGGAGGACTTGGATCATTTCATTTTCTTGTGTGAAGTGCCACACCTTTCCCTGCCCCCCCCCCCCATACTGCCCATTGTGCAAGTTGCGTGCGTTAGGACTTGCTTTTTCTTTTAGTGACCTGTAACTAACAATATTAGACAGACTCTTCGCTCCCTCTTTCCTTTTTCAGGTGCTGTGCAAGTTGATAAATAGTTTACATCCAACAGGACAAGAGCCAATTCCAAAGATCTCAGAGTCAAAAATGGCTTTCAAGCAGATGGAGCAAATCTCTCAATTTTTAAAGGCTGCTGAAATCTATGGAGTCAGGACCACAGATATTTTTCAGACTGTGGATCTATGGGAAGGTAAACAAATGAAGTGTTTTTGGGCAAACAACTGATGCGTGTATTAACAAAAGAAATTTCCTTCCTCCCTCCCCTTCTTTCCTTCCTTCTTCCTTCTCTTTCTCCCTTCCTTCTCTTCCTTCCTTCTTTCCTTCTTTCCTTCCTTCCTTTCTTTCTTCCTTCACCCTTCCTTCTTTCTTTTCTTCTCCCTCATCTTTTTCTTTCCATCCTTCCATTTTTCATTTTTCTCTCTCTGTCTCTGTGTGTTTGTCTGTCTTTTTCTCACCTCTCACTTTGATTCTTTCCTCTACCCAGAGACATCTTCTAGTGCCATTATCCCAATTGCCTGTCAGTTTTTTGTTATCATAATGCTCTGTCAATGGTGTGTTGGATCCCTTTTGTGGTAGAGGTCTCACATTGAGGATATCCTGGAACATTTTCAATTTGACAAATAACCAAAGGGCATCATTTGGAAGAAAAAATATTGACTAAATATATCTTATTTCTTTTACCTCACCCACAACATACTTTCCCCAAACAAATATCAGCTAATAGAAAAGTGGTATGGGGAAGAGGATATGCTTTCCATCAATTATTGGTATTAATGCAAAAATGACTTTTTTTTAGTTTTTGTCATAAAATCTGGAAGGTGGATGATAACCCTAACTTGAAGTTAACAGTTACCTAGGAGTTCACTACATCCTCCACATGCATTTCTGGTTTTGTTGCCTATGTTTCCTATAAAGCCTGCTTGAATCACTAAGAGATAGACAATGGCTACTGAATCAACTGTTCTTTCATCTGTTTATTGTTATTGGCTGTCTCAAAAGACCCATTGGAGCAAATCAATGACGCAGTGATCCGAATGGGTTGTTATCACATGGGGCTAACTGGTGATAATGGTGTTTTCTCACTATTAGACATAATAGTATTTTAGAGTGTATTGAGTGTTAATGGCTAAAAGAGCCAGCCTTCCAGCTAATGCCACCTTAGGTTGAACTAGTACTAGTACCTTCCTGCTAAGAAACCTAATTCATGAAAAATGATTTGTACCATTATTCTTGATAATACCTCTATGAAAAAGAGACAGAGGAAACATGGTTACCTTCCTGAAAAAGAAAAAGAAATGAGTAGCTGAGATTCATAGTATGGTATAATCATCATAGAAACTGAGGATTTCATGAGATGATAGCTTTACAGCTGGAAGGGAGCTCAGAGAACATCAAGTCCTACCTCCTCTTTTTGCAATGAGGAAAATGAGGCCCAGAGACATTAAGTGGCTTGCCCAAGGTCACACAGGAAAGAAGTGAGAACATCAGGATTTGAATCAGATCCCCTAATCCCAAAGTGAGTACTTCTTCTGCTGTGCCACAGTGGAAAGGAAGGGATCTTTGAGGTTATTAAGGACACCCAATATCTAAGCACTTACTACCCAAACCTTTTAAAGAACAGATGATAGGATTATAGATCAGGAGCTAGAAAGAACTTAATGACCATCTAGTCTAATCCCCTAATTTTATGATAAGAAAATTGAGGACCAGGGAAGTTAAGTGTCCAAGATGACATAGGTAGTAGGCATCAGAGGTGAGATTTGAACTCATGTCCTTTGATTTCAGAGGCAGTGCTCTTTCTAGCCTTCATACAAACCCTCTGGACTAAAATAGATTTTAACACAAGTCATCATGCAAAAACAGGTCCTAGATTTAGGTTATGGGCTTCCATTAATTAGACATAATGATAATGATGATGATACCAAGTAGTCATTATATGTTCCATTCTTTGCAGATGCTCAGCTTTCTTTAGCTATTTAAAAACTGCTATTAATATTAACTACTTTAAGCAGAAAGCATAAGTAGGTTTGGATACTGTACAGGACAGAGTGAGCCAGCACAGAGGCCTTGGTTTTTTCATGGGAAATTGACACAAATTAAGGTACAAAGAATACAAAAGAGGGCACTTGGAGGGAGGATGGATGGTGGCATGTGGTCTGTAAAGATTATGTTTACATGTTATTTTCTATAGCTTTATCTTTTTTTTAGTTAGGCAATGGGGTTAAGTGACTTGCCCAGGATCACACAGCTAGTAAGTGTCAAGTGTCTGAGGCCAGATTTGAAATACAGCTTTCTTTAAGCACCTAAAAAAGGAATATCTTCCTAGGTTTTGTCAAATTCCATTAAATGCCTTACAATCTTTGTGGATGGCTATTATCAACCCCTTTTGATGACATCATTGAAAAAAATGTGTGATCAAAAAAGGAGGTGGGCCAGTCATGTTCTATCAAAGAGGGAAAAGGTATAACTTGGGGCTATAAGTGGCACCCAAGAAATACCAAAAAAGTCTTGGTGCAGTTTAAAGCTTTGATAACATGAGAAGACCTAGAGGAAGGTTTCTAGCACATTGGATAGCACCCCTTTGAAAGATCTACTGGAAAAATGGATTAGAATTACACAGAGTAAAAGACCATCAAGCAATTGTGATATGCAATGGTAGTGGGAAGAGTCACATTAATGAGATTACAGATTTAATTGAAGCCTTTTTTTTAAAGCACCTTAGCAACCAGGTGGTGCAGTAGATAGAGGGCCAGACCTGGAATCAGGAAGACATGAGTTCAGATCTGGTCTCAGACACTAGTTCTGTGACCCTGAGCAAGTCGCTTGACCTTGCTTGCCTCAATTTTCTCATCTGTAAAATGAATTGAAGAAGGAAGTGGCAAACCACTTCAGTATCTTTGCCAAGAAAACCCTAAATGGGTTTTTTAGATTTGGACATGTCTGATTAACAGCAAGAGTTAGAGCTAGAAGGGACCTCAGAGGCCATTTATTTCATTTTTATTTTATAGATGAAGACACTGAGACCTAGAGAGTCAAGTTCTGAATCCAGGTTCTCTGTCTCCAAATCCCCCAGGCTTTCCATTGCATCATGCTGCTTCCTTGATTGATTTGTACTATTGCTCCCATCCCTTAATGGGTAGAACCAAGGAAGGTAGACTCGTTCTCTGCTCCTGCACTTCTACTCTTGCTATACATTTTGAAGTCTTAAGGTAGGTGGAGGCTAATGGGATCATGAGTGTGACCTAGAACTCAAACTAGCAAATAAGATAGTAGCAGGAAGGGGAACCTTAAACAAATGAGAGAAAAATGGAGAGAGATCCAGAATATAGAATTGCAGAACCACAGAATCTCAGAGGTGGAAATGGCTTCAGACACCATCTTGTTCATGGTGTACCTGAACAGGAATTCTCTTGACAACATCCCTGGCAAGTAGTCTCCCAGCCTGTTTGAGGACCACCAGTGAGGGGAATTCATGACTTCCTATGTAGCCTCTTCCATTTTATTAGCTCTAATTATTAGGAAATCTTTCCTTATGCTAAGCCTAAATCTTTCTATAACTTCCATTTATCATTCCTAATTTCATTTCCTGAACAAATATAATTCTTCTTTTACGTAACAGTCTTTTAAATCCTTCAAGATAGCTGTCGTACTACACCTGGTATCTCTGCTTCAGACTAACCTTCCCCAATTCCTTCTACTGATTATTACAAGGCATAGTTTCCATTGTCCTCACCATCTTGGTTATGCTTCTCTAGAAGGACTCCAGCTTGTCAACATTGCTGCCTTTGTCTTCAGGTGCCCATCTCTTTCAAAATGTATTCTCAGTAATAGGAGAGGTGGAGGGAGGGTGGAAAGACACTAGTGGGAGGTGAGAAGCAAAAGCTTGCTTTGAGGGCTATGCCTGAAGAGGTTCTCTCAGTTAATGAGTTGAACATGGAGAACAGGAGGCAAAATCAGGGTCAGAATGTGTGTCTGATTATGGTGAAGGGGATAAGGGTGCAACTGAATTCCAAATGAATGATTGCCATAGACATCCAAGCTGTGGGACTGAATTAAATGAGAAATGGACAAGGAGGCTGCAATGGGGCAGCTGAGGCATAGTGGAAGGAGCACTGACTCTGGAGGGAGAGGAAGCAAATTTAAATTCTGGTTCTACAACTTACTAGTTCTGTGACTTAGGGCTATTGATTTAATATCGGGGAGGCTCAGTTTTCCCCTCTATAAAATGGAGATGAACCAGTTTCCTCATCTAAAAGTAGGTGTGAAAATAATGTCTGTATTCCCTGCTTCATAGTATTGTGGAGAACAAAGAAGCTAATAGATTTAAAGATAGTGTGGTACCTTGGAGAGAGCACTGGGTTTAGAATCAGAATTAGTCTTGAATCCTGGCTCTTCTACTTTATTACCTGTGTTTTCTTGGGCGAGTTACTTCACCTCTCTGGGCCTCAATTTCCTCATCTGTAAAATGAAAGGGTTGGACTAGATGATCTTTGTGGCTCTTTCTATTCCTCAAATAGATTTTTTTGGTTGATTAGTTGTGTCCAACTTTTCATGACCCCATTTGGGGTTTTCTTGGCATAGGTACAGGAGTGGTTTGCCATTTCCTTCTCCAACTCATTTTACAGAGGAAGAAACTGAGGAAAACAGGGTTAAGTGACTTATCCAGGGTCACACAGCTAGTAAGTGTCTGAGGCTGGGTTTAAACTCATGTCTTCCTGATTCCATGGCCAACACTCTATCCACCACACCAAAATCTGTGTTCCTATATAAAATGCTTTTGCAAAGCCTATTTAAATGTCAGCGGTTGTTAGTATTTGAACTATGGCTTCTTAATGCTGGGTAAAGATGATAGAAACCCAGAAGGCTTATGGATGTCACCCCCTGGAGCTCAAACCAGGGCTGTTGATTATACCATTGGCAGGAAGAAGGGAGAGCTCTGGGGAGAGGAGAGGGCAATCTGGAGGGTGAAGAGCAGAGGAGACAGGATGGAACCTCAGGTGAAATGCCCAGAGAGCAGTGAGTAAAGGGAGAGAGATGACTCAGAACTGGCACAGCAGTGGCTGATGAAGCCCAGGAAGCAGGAGCAGGAGCCAAGCCAGGCATCATGAGGAGGCATCTGTTTAGAGGAGCAGCTGAACAGGTGGAGGAGAATCACTGAGGCATAAAAGCTCTCAGCTTAGAGAGAGGATG